TCCCTCGCTCTCCCTCGCTCTCCCTCGCTCTCCCTCGCTCTCCCTCGTTCCCTCGCTCCCTCTCTCCCTCTCTCCCTCTCTCTCACCCTCCCTGTCCCTCCCCCTCCCCCCTCCGTCTCTCTCTCTCTCTTTCTTCTAAGGATAAGGCAGTCCGACTCCTGATCCCTTCCCCGTTATATAAGGCCTTGCCAACCCCTGATTTAGTGGTGCGTTGGTTACCATGTTCGGGGCTGATTTGCTTCGTCAGAGGAGAAACGCGGTTCAGACGCCCCAGGCCCACAAGAATTCCAACATCCTCGGTACTGTAGCAGCACTGCAGCGTCTCACCATCCCCCATCTCCCACCTGCTCATTGTGGCAGGGCTTCCTCCAAGACGTGAAGCGCTTTCAATCGCCCAACGAAGTCGTAGGCACGTGGGTGGATCTACACTGGAGTTGGTTGGTTTTTTCCAATGGCCCTGAAGCTTTGGGTACGGTACTTCTGTCGGCTCCGTGTCAATCTGTCTAGGACCGACCGCAGACTTCTAGGACCGACCGGCCGCCGAACAGCCGGGCTGACTCCAGGTGGTGGAATGGATCAGGTACGAGAGGAGCTCTATGGACCCACAGCCCTACCCATCCTCACCAGTGATGCCAAGGCGCGGGATGCGTGCGAGATATGCAAGCCGTGTATGGCTGGTCCATGGAAAGATGGGGAAGATAAACTCATTGGCAGAGACCAGTTCACCCCAAGGCCTCACTCTTGATAAATATGGCACGGAAGCTTCTGTGAACTTCTGTGTCAAGAAGATATTGAAGCTGGAAGAGGAAGTGATGCACTTCCTTCACAGATGTCCTTCACAATTGTGCTTGACTTGCTTCGCTCAGGCGAAGGCTTGCTTCTCTGGCGCAGAGCCCAGGAGGAGGCAGCTGGTGATTGTCGCGGGCTGAGCATGAGGGGAAGATGAAGCCTACGCCCTACGGTTGACAGAAGAAATCCTGCACCGCTTTGACATATATATATATATATACACATAGCTCATCCACACCTGACAAACCCAAAGCCCAGCACCCTCGGCTATAACAGTGTTAGAAGAGGGAGCGAGCGTTAGGGTTTGAGGCATCATCCTCACAAAGTGGTGCAGGATTTTTGCGTCAGCAGTAGCAAGGAACACAGCCCTCTTATCTATGTGGTTGAGGCATGTGTGGAATCCTAGGGACTTCACGTCAAAAAGCACGTCTGGCCCTTTCCATTGCAATGGTTGCCCAGCATCCATGCAGAAATTCCCAAACACCCAACGTCATGTCTTCTGGAACTTGTGATGAGTTCTCGGCAGACACTTCTGTGATTCTTCTCCAGTACTGCAGAAAGCGGACGAATGTGCATTGCTTCAGCCTGGCCATCAATTATTTGATATGTTGGACCCAAGGAACGTGTTGCTTTGAACGTGGCCTATCGAGAATTCTTGGAGCCGCCAACTCAGAGGGCTGGGCGAGCTCGCCAGTCACGGTCTGCGAGTGGTTTGAGTGTCAATGTGCCAAGCCTGAGTCAATTGTAGCTTGAATGTAGTCCTTTGCTGTTCCCAAATAGCTAGATCCGACATCAGCCAAGGCTACAATCCAGGCATTTCTAATTGTGTTCTTCATGTGCGGACCATTTCTATTGGTGTGGTCTGGCTCCCAACCCTCCGCACTCACTCGGTGTCCTTTCATTGCGAAGAGGTCACAACGGCATTTGGAAGAACTCGGGAAGGGCTCTGCCCGCAGCGGGGTCCAGCAGCTTTGTCACCGTTGGGTCAAGACCCTGGCAGAGCTGCTGAAGGACGAGCAGTGTGCCTTACGCCAAGGGAAAGGATCCCGGGCCTTTAAGGAGACCTGCGGGCGGATGTAGTTTGTGGCGTTGAAAGCTGGGATAGAGTGGATGAGAGAGTTCAACCTTGGAATAGTATTTAGCAAAACCAGGTGGGTTTCGTTCAGGCTGTGGAAGGAAGAGTTCTTCTACACATTTTCGGCTTTTTGATGGGGTGTGCCATTTATTCAAGCCAAAGTATGCTGGCTCATGCCAGGAGCTTCAAAACTGCGGATTAGCTCCAGATCTTATGGCCATACTGGCTAGTCAGACCTTGCTGAACTTGATCTTCCTACCGAACTACCGGCACAAGGCAAAACCGACGTCGTTTTGGCGACGTCGTGCTGGTGGAAAAGTTCTCCTGCAATACCGGTTCGAGTTCGAGGATGGCTCACCATTGACCATGGCTCTAAAGAGCTTGGGCGCCAGCCCTCGCAACAGTAGGACTCAAGAGGTCCCTGGGTCCACAGGGGTTTGGATGACATCCAAGGACCCGTTGAGTTTCTTGAGGAACACTTGTTCCATTTCACAGTCCCAAAGCCCTTGAACAAGGGGACGTGATACACCTAGAGATTTCTTCCTGTTTCTTTCTTTTTTGGGCCACAGCCATACCAGAAGCCAGGCTGTGGCAAAGTATTGTCAGTATGCAAAGCCATGATCTATATATATATATTATATAATAGATATGATAATATAGTTTAATATATATATATGTATACCGCCGGACTGAAAGTTAGAATGCCTATCACCGGGTGGAGAGTCTAGGTTTCGGCTACCACTTAGAATGCCTCCCAGCACATTGAGGCGTACCTGAGACGTGTCTTAAACAAATATTGAGACGTACCTGGGCTAATTTGTATATAATATATATGAGTTGTTGAAGTGTTTTGCCTAGTGCCTTGGCTCAAAAAAGGAAATTTAGGTATTTGAGCTGGCGCCATGCAGCAAACGTTGCATGCCGTCTTGAAAAAGACCATGTCAAATCCTATCCGCCGCCTCTTCCAGCTCCTGTGAATCCACCATCTCCACCATGATTGAACTCATCTCCCATTGAAGATCTATATATACTTGAGAAATATATATATATATACATACACATCGTGTTTACATGATTCAATCACTGTATAGAGCTCATTTGATGCAAAGCACTCTAGCCGGACTGACAGTTAGAATGCCGCCCTAAATCTTTACTATTTGTGGGGCCGTGCAGGCATTCTAAGTGTAGGAAAATGAGACACGCATTCTAAGCCTCCACCCTGGAGCCGGTACGGCATTCTAACTTTCAGTCCGGCGGTATATATAATATAATATATACAATTACTTTTTTCTTTTGTTGATTCCACTGAGAGGTCGCATCATTTGTAAACATAGCCTATTTATGTCATATGCACTCAACTCTCCCTGCGTTTTGTACAATGGATTTGGAAGTAGATGCTCCGTTTTTAAATACAGCTGAATCTGGACGGATTTGGGCTTCCAAACTTCAGTCTTAAGTGAGTGGCACAGAATCCAGTTCTGAACTCCAAACGAGTTTTCCAGCTTTCCAGCCTTTTGCCTTTAAGTGAAAAGAATCTGTTCATGACTTTGGAAGAACTGCCCTTCGCTTTCCGAGCTAGTCTTGGGGCGTGGTGAAACCAGGACGACCTCCAAGCGGACGCAAGAGCTGGAAAGCTTCTTCGCATGGAAACGGGAACAGGGACCTGGGGACAAACGGGAAACCAAATAGGCGTTGGATGTCGGTGTGGCCAGAAGCCAAGAATCTGCTAGTGGGGGAACTCTTAGAGAATTATATAGCCAGTTTTGTTGGAATGCACCATTCGACCTGGGAGTTTTTGGCTGGTCCAAATTCAGATTGAAGGGTCCAAATTGGTGAAATTGCGACCTGAAGGGTCCCTAAGCCCCACCTGCCCATGGCAGCTTTTTGAAATTTGCCGAAGCCATGCCACCTAGGTACGGAGAGGTACCCTTCGTGACGATCGCGACCCAAATCGGCGAGGCGCGCAGCCTGTGACTCGATGGGAGGCGGAGTTGGCCCCCAACGGCGGAGGTGTCAAACAGACCTCGGGCCGTGCTGTGCGCACGGTTGGCAGTGCTTGGCACCCAGTCCCTGAATTTCCGTCGCACCCAAGCTCAACCTCCCGGTTCTGTGGATATTTTACCGTTGGGATGTGGCCGATTGGTGAGTTCACCACAGCTTTGTCGTAGGGTGTCACAACCACCAAAGGCATTCGCGGCCGCCTAGGTTTTTGCTCATCGGGCCTCTCATGCACCTGTGCCTTTTACTATTTTTCATGACATAGATGTCTGCTATGTGCTGCTACAACGTTTTGTACCACTCGCACTCCAAAACCACTGTACGGGGCGGATCAGACTAGAGACGATCTGAGTTTCTCAAGCGCGGAGCGCCCAGCTGGCGCTGGATCGCAGACAGCCCAGCATCTGACTGCTAAGCACACATCTGGACCTTCCAACGGATGTGCAATGGAATCTCACAAGCCGTGTAGGGTAGTCGAGCTTATCGTTGATTGCAACTGCGGATTGGGGTGGGTTTCTGGCTCCCTCCTGTTTCCTTTGGATGTGTCTTAAACTCGGGATGCCCTAAGAGCACGGGCGTGAAGTTCATCCGAAGCATCCATGAAACTCCATGACCGAGCGGGCACGGTCCACCCGAGCGAGCGAGCTCGTTGCAGGCGGTGCAGATGGAACGATACCATCTGGATGCGAAGATCAACTTGAAAGATGATCCAGGAGGTGGTTACCCCGTCGTGCTAAAAGAGATTTATCGGTCCCGGTCTCGAGCTGGGGAAGTCATGACTTGCTGGACAGGTGTGCTTGAGGCTCCTTGGAAAATGCACACAAAATAAGGCTGAATAAAGAGCACACACACACACATATATATATATATATACACACATACTTTTTTCTTATTCAAGCGCCTCAGAATCAGAAGCGCTAATAACGGGAGTTTGGGGACCCTCAACTTTTCAAGGCGTCGCCATCTTCACCTCCTGTAGTTGTTTCGCGGTGGCCAGGCCAGCAGTGGAAGCAGCGCTGGAGACAGGCAGCAGCTGAGCAGCAGAATGCTTGGCACGGCTCAGCTATTGTTCACTTAGGAGGCCTCGTCATCCAATCCATCTGAACCCCTCTGAACATCGGCCCATGTGTTGAGGCCTATACGGACGCCCGGCGGACTGTGCAGTTCGGGTCCTGCTTGGCGGACATGCTGATCGAATATGCTGAAGTTGACCTAGCAGCCCATCAGGCGGGCAGCAAGGCAGCAGGGAGGATGATGGGCAGGGTCTACTAAAGAATCAATGAGTTTCTGAGTAGGGAACCAAAGGACAAACTGCTGAAGGTGATGCACTGTTGTGATCTAAGTTCAAAGCTTTTCCTGTATAAGTGAAAAGTGAAGGCAGAGAGATTTGGCCAAGTGAATCAAAAGAGGAAAGCCGGCTTCATAATGATTTGTTTCAGGTATTTTGGGCATAATTTGAGGTTTCTTTCAATCCTTGCTGGTCGCCGTTGGTGAGGTTGACCAACAACACCAAATCTCCAACCAACCAACCGACCGACCGACTCACCGACCAACACAAATTTACGGACGCTGGATACGTTCACTGTCGATCTCTCATAAGGTCCAGGTTTTCATTGACATGGAGGACATTGGAAGACCCGACCAGGGACAGTCTCGGAACGGCAACTTTCCGTATTATTGTTTCCTTTCACCTATTCTTGCTTTCAAAGTTAGGCTACTCTCCAACCTAGAACCAATTCCTTGTTTCTATCTTTTCCATATTGGAACATTTTGCCTTCTAAGATTCTACGTAGTTGTGAGCCATTTAGACCATTCAATTCTCACAGAAGTCTCATCTTCGACATGCGGATCAGAGCAGCCACCAGCGGATTGCCGTGCAGAGTCTCAAAATGACAGCCGTGTTCATTCTTTTTCGGGAGTGTACATATGGAGATGACATGTTTCAAAAAAAGTTTCAAATCGACTCCTTGAAGAAGATTCCTCTCTTGTGCCCCTGACGGTCGTGCGACTGGTCGTAGAACATCACTGACGGTCACTGGTTGTACCATCGAGGTGGCCTCGTCCAGTACTTCGGCGTCACCGCGGTTGGTCAAGGTGCAGGGCTCTGGCCAGAGCGAAATAGGAGAGATGACAGGAGCCAGCCCCTAGTAGCTTCTTGCTCCTAGGAGAGATGACTATGTGGTTGATGGGGATGCAGAAGCACCATAGATGATACCCCCTTGTCCCTTCTTTGAAGTATGCCCTTTGAAGCAAGTCTTGTTGGACGCGAGCAATCGCCGCTTCAAGAGCAGAGTTCAGCTGGGCCTCTCAAGAACGAGGAGACCTGCCGGGTGACTTTGGAGAAGCTGATGAACACGCTGTGTCCGTCAGGACTACGGTTTATGATGGGGCCCTCCTCTTGAGACCATGCCTTTGATGGATATGGGAATGCCAACTTGGACCAGGTGTCTCTTTGTATCAGTTTGCACATCAGTTCTGGAGCCCTCACCAAGTTAGATGACGTCCCCGAAGGAGATAAACAGCTATATAATGAAAGCAACAAATTGTGCAGCGTGACTTGGGTGCGCACCAAACAACCTTTTCTCCGCTGAGATAGGGCTGGACCTCCACATGGGGATGTAGAGACTTCCCAACCTGTGGGCTTGAGACAAACCCACAGCCAACCCCTTGTGCCAACCACCATTGGAAAAAACCTGTGAAGGCTCCGAATACAGTAATACAGAAGCCACAAGCCTATCTAAAAATAACAAGTAGGTCAGTGATGGTCCGCAAGCTTGTGAGGGGCAAAACTTGAATGGAAAAATGGCCTCTTTCTTTCTTTCTTTCTTTCTCTCTCTCTCTCTCATTTCTCTCTCTTCCTTTCGTCTGCCACGGGAGTCGGAGGTCATTTCGAGGCCGAAATGACTGGCCCCTCTCGCCCTTTCAGCATTGATTGGTGACCATTGGTGACCCATCCTCTCTGGGACAAGCGTCAGGACCTGCTAAAGCTTCATACAGCTTTCCAGTTTCATGCTTTGTTGGACAGGGATACACAACCATTCGGATTCAGTTCAATCCATTGCCCCCAACCATCTCACCATCTTGGAGTCCCCAACCATTCTGCGCACCCGCGCCGCCCAAAAAGAAGGCCTTCAATCATCGCCTCCGCCGCGAAGGGAAGAAGAAGGTGTCGCTGGGGGGTTTTGGGTGGCATTGGATGGCCTTGGGCGGTTTCCCTTGGTGGTCAGTAGAATGAGGTTTCTTCGCGCAGGTGGCCGCCAACTTTAAGGGTGACTGAAACATGTTCACTTCTGACTTGGCTACTGTGAAACAGAACTTAGCCCGCGGGTAGTATTTGTGCACCAACAACCTCTGCAACACCTGTTCATCAATTCATCAGCCTCGTGAAGTGCTTTGGACGCTAACTGCTAGCAGAGCTGAACTCTCATTGTGCTAAGCAGTTTCCATTGTTCAAAATTATACCGTGGATGTCCAACACCTGAGTTATATAAGGGAACTATAGGGAACTTCTACTGTATGTATACATATGTATATATATATATAACTTGTATGTGTTTCTACGTCGAACAGTGTGCAGGAAAAGTTTTTGCAATTCTCCATTGACCTTGACCCCGTGGAGACTTCGTTCCAAGCAACAACCAAGAAGCCAAAGCAAGGCTTCCTTTCTTGCTTCTACGTTGAGCAGATTGTAGAAGGAGTCACAAGTGTGATTTTCTATTGATAAAGCTTTCCTACCATAGATCATTCACCGTTTTTCTTTGTGGAGGGTGCCTCGCGCACTCCAGCTCTTCTATTTCAGCCAAAAACAAGCAGCCAAGCAGCCAACCAAGCAAAACCAGCCATTGCACAAAGCCCAAAGCCCCAACTTGGGTTTGCTGAAGGAGGCAAACAGGAAAATGGGGTTGGCTGGTTTTTAATTTTCTTGAAATGCTTTTGTGCGTGTGCTAGTCCCTGGCTTTAGTCTTTTGATTTTTCATGATTACTTCTTGGTTTGTAGCTTGTGGTCTTTCTTTCAGGCTGAAGCTACGCAGCATTCTTCTGAAGAACACATCAAACGATGCATTTGGGGCCAATTTCACCATGCCCTGCGGCCCTGCGCAGCTTCACAGCCAGGTGGGTGTGGTCTCTTTGGACCCCCAGGTCCGGGCCATGGTGGATGAAGTCGCCGGGGGCCCCGAGCGGAACACCACCGCACGTGTGACGTCGTGCGCGTGTCCACTTCGTGCACACGGTCTTTTGCTTGGCGCAAGCGCGCATGAAACCAGCAGCTCGGAATGGCTGGATAGCGGCTCGGACATGCGTGGTTACTTGTGAGAGCAGATTGAATCGTCAACGGCAACAGGCACTTGCAACAGGTGCAGAGAGATTTGGGGCCCTGTCGAAGGCAAAAAGACTTCTCCCAAGATTATTGGACTGTGTTTGGTACTGCAGAGTTCCCATGCAGCAATGCCCCTCAGAAACAACATGCAAAATGGGACTTCAGGAAGGCACCCCGCTGATAAGTTGGGCAAAGTGAGTAACACCACCTCGAAGACCGGCCCAGCCGGACCGCTGTAGGTGCTGTTAACCGCCAAGTGAACCAGTGGACAGCCCTGCTTTTTTTCTTTTTTCGCTATGCGCTTGAATGTTTCATAGATTTATGTTTACATTTTCCTCCCTACCTGGCACCGTTTGGGAGGCATATGGGCGCGTCTCGGCTCTTGTCTCCCAAAACATCTGAGGGCCTGTGGCGCTTCATCCATCCCAAGCACAAACCGATGATCTTGCCACCCGCTCCTTGGCGGCCTGGTGGCTTCCGCCCCCAAGGCCCACGCCAGAAAGGGATTGGGAGGGCAGTGGAGGAGGGCGAGGGCTGGAGAATTGGCGGATGTGATGTCAATCCAGGAACATCCCAGAATGACATCGTCTGGTTCTTCTGCATAAACTGATGGCCTAATCCTTTTTTAGTCTATATAGTTTTGCAATTTTTGCATAAACACGCGTAATCCATTTGGGGAGAGCGGAAAGTCAGTTTTCTTTTTTCTTTTTTGCTGGAATTGGAATGCTGCTAAAGGGTTGTGCCGGCCAGCCCTGCCAGCAGCCAGGCTGAGAAATTGGGGGTTCGACGGTGTCATGGCTCATGGACTTTTCGGGGCAAGAGGCCTTTGGGCCACCCAGGTGTTTTTGAAGGCATGCAAGAACCCTTCGCAGATTAGCTCTGGCAGGGAAGCTTTTTGAAGGACCGTGAACTGTGCCAGGTCCGTACTTGATTCACAAGGTGGAGTTTGTCCGGACCAATGCACAGCAGTTGACCAACCTGCCGTCCTACAACCCCACCAGCGTGGCCAGGGTCATGGACCGGGCCGGATTGCGGATGGGTGTGAGTGCGAAAAGTACAGGATGTCGGTGGCGAAAGAAGCCAGGTCTAGCTTTTCGAAGGAACCTTTCATATCTTTTCATCATGTTGTAATTCATGAGCGTATTGACCCCAAAGCAGGATAAAGCAGGTCACTTGGGGGCGCTTCGGGACTCCAGGAAGGTCACTAGCTTGTCGAAGCAACGCGGAGGGGGGCAGATATTGGGCCAGATGGGTGCGTGTGGTGTGAGGCCTATACTCCTTACCAGACGGGCCTACAAGCAACACATCTCATCCGGATAGGATTTTATAAAGACAAACACTTTTTGTGGAAGGCCCAAGACTCAAAAAGGAGAGCTGCAAACAACATTTTTCCTGTTTTGGACTATGGTTGCTCACAGGGCCCAAAGCAGGATATCATCGGCCTTCTAGAATGGTATTCAACCAGCATTTTTAAAACACCTTTTCACAGCTTCAAACTACGTGGAACTGGGGTTGCGTCAGTGGTGCTTGCTCCGTTTTCTAAAATCCACCGGGTCAGCCAAAACACTTCGTTCGACCGCAGGACTTCCTGGGTCAAGTGCCCTGGAAGGTCAATGGTCGAATCTTGCGCCTGATGAGACAGGTGCCCAGGTCGAGCTGACTCGAGAGTAGAGTTCGTTTCTGATCGGAGACACAGAAGAAGAAGAGATCCGTTCTAGGGTACCAATTGGTAGTAAGGGCTGTCCATTCACCACGATCCAATGGTCTGAGGGTTGAGTCCAAAGTGCAGAAGAGGGCAGATTGTAAGCCTAGCCATGCTGTCCTTTGGTTCAAGTTGTGCTTTGGTACGTTTTGTCACAATTTTCAGTGCCAACGTCGCCCAGCATGGCGACAAATGCACCCCTCCTGGGGAACCAGAGCAAGAAGGGCGGGCACTCGAAGGCTTCCATTTTCTATGGAGCTGATGAGTACTTGGAGGAGCTGAAGAAGAAGCACCTCGACTCCCGTCACTGACAGCGTGTCACCCCGAGAACCTCTTCATAGAGAGAAAAGGCCTCCGAGCCTGCAGAGATTGGAAGCCCCTCTGAAAACAGTAGGACTATATATTCGATTCCCCCAGGTCTTTTTTTGGTCACGACTCGTTTTGATGTGCGACACAGAGTCAAGAGCAAGCCCACAGTCCAGAGACATAGTGACTAGTGACTAGCATAAAAAGTGCTGTATGTGAAACCGAATCGTTTCTATCTATCGATCTGGGGTCGAGACGGATCACATGAGTGGAATGCCACGTACCTCCTCGACATTGGACACGGAGTTGCGGAAATGCAGTGACACTGTATGTACGCTGCATTTTTTCTTCAAGATGGTATGTTTGAGCCAAGTGGAGCTACATAGAAGATGCCATGTTATATGGCATATTTCTTTTTGTGGGGGTGTACCACATACACATATACAAAGGGTATTTGCTTGCGCAGGCCAAATGCGTTCAGGCTTAGGCTTGCATTGGTAGGGACCTTCTTGCTGTTCATCTATGAGCATGATCTCATCAGTTTTGCACAGGCAGCCAACTTTAACACCACTGCAGTGGGTTACCTTGGAGGCTTCGCTATGTGGGTTGAACCCGCAAGCACCCAACAAAGAACTCATGCAAGATATTTGCTTTTGAGATGCTCACCAGGGGCACCAGATTTTGACCCACATCCTCTGTTTGTCTGCAGAATGCTGTTGCTATCATCATCATCATCATCATCATCATCATCATCATCGGAGAAATGCTGTAGGTACGCCCATGACCACGAGATTGCGGCCATGAAGAACTTGCTGCCAGGTGAGGCTGATCCCAATGCGGCAGGGGTAGCCCAGAGCCAGGACAGACTTGGGAACGGCAGGCTTTGAAATTGCTCAAGGCCGTCGCTGTTCGCTGGGCCGAAGCTTAGGTGTTGGATGGCGAAGGGCTTCCACGGCATTGGCATCGTGTTACCCATTAACAGTTTTCAAAAGTTTTCAATAGCCAGGACAAGATGCTGAAGGTGGAAAAGGACAATGAGAACAGGAGCTTGAAGACCAAGCGTTTGTTCCCGACCGCCAACAAGCCGGACCCGATGCCACAGAACTTGGCCTTTTTGTTCACCAAGATCACTCCTGAGCCCTGGAATGCAGAAGCAGCAAATCCATGGGGGTGCCAGCCCAAGACTTTGTCCAGGTGCCAGCCCCTGAGCCACACAACAAGGGGTCCGTCCATTAAAACAATACACCCATGTAGGATGTAGATGTTTTTTTATTTGGCCATAGTTTGGGGGTTAGTGCCTGGAAATTATCCAATCGGCAGGTTTTGAATCTCATAGGATTTTATCCAACCATTGTCCTGGTCCTCGTCAATGTAGAAGAAATGAAGAGATAGAAAAGAAGAGATAGAGAGAGAGAGAGAGAGAGCAGAGACTTTGTCGAGCATGTTGCCAGATTCGCCGACAGAGATTTTCCGAGCTCCATGGTAGAAAGATGTAGATAGAGAAGAATGTAACAGCAATACCGAGATTGAGTAGAAAACATATGTTTCATACATTTTTCTACTGCAGGATGCCAGAAAATATGGAAAATCAAGATAGGTGAGGGATCTTGATGTTGTACAGGTGCCTACGTGTGCATGGTACTGCTATGTCTTCAAGCTTGTTGGCCATCTTGTCCATCAAGTAGAATCGTATCAAACATGTGCATCCTAGAAAAGAATTGGATATTTTCACTGGTGCTGAGATATAAAACCACTTCTGGGATATGCTATAAAATTGATCTGCTTCTGCTAGGTCTTGAGAGCTTTCCAAAATAATTACTGTAGAAATTGTTCAATGGCTGTGAACCTTGAAGGTGCACTGACATTTGGACAAACCATCCTTCAATGCAGACTATGAACTCTGCTAAATCTGCTGCAGCTCAACAAAGAAGCTGCTTCACGGTAAACACTGGGCGTTGTACCCCTGGTAGACTCCTGGAAGGTGCAGGTCCAAAGAAGCTGTCAAGTCTACAGAATACCTGCCAACATGTATAGACCGAACAGTGCGAGTTTTTCAAACGGCAAACCACCAGACACCAGCGAGTGAAAAGATCGGACTTTTCAGACCGGTCCCCCGACAGATTTCGGGCCTGGGATCAGAACCTATTGTTGACCATTGGGATGTCAAGCCTTTCAAAAGTATCCATTTTCATTGTTGTGTGTTTTATCGTTTTCTTTTTTTCGAGCTAGAATTGAACCTCAGTGTCTCAAATGATCTGGCTGAGAAAGGGTCAGTCCTCCCCCAAAAAATCCGTGTACAGACCCTGGGCCCCAGTAAAACGGTGTATATATCTGATTTTGACCCTCCAGTGCATCGAGTTTTTTCAGTCTCTCTCAAATAAAAGCACATGGCAGGTTGCATGTGATGATGGAAGACTGCACACTTACTATCCACGAGACGCGGAAGTGGACGGCATAAAGCCGTGAGGTTCCGACGATTCTCTGGGTCCACACAGCGGGTCAGATCCTCCAAGTCACTCGTTTGTGTTCTTCTTTAAACATCCGATCGCTGCCGCGGGGTCCGATCTGCTCCTTTACCGTCCTGAGGAGCAGATGATGTACATGTGGAATGTTTTGACGGCCATCTTCATTGGACAGGTGCTCATGGTGATCGCTTATTGTGGGGCCCTGGCCACGCTGCCGGACTACTGGTGGACCTGCACGCTGCTCTTCGGGATTCCCTTTTCCTACATTGCGATCCAGCAGATCCTGGGGCGTGGTTTGGAACATGTTTTCACTTTCCATTTCTCCATCCATATTTGGGACAGGTTATCCCAAGTAGCCAATACTTTTGGCGATGGTTGAAGTCACCAACTAGGATCTATATCGACCACGATGAGCCTTGGCCTGCTGAAAAGGATGTGGCTCAAAAGATGTTCGACTCCGGACCCGGATCTTTGGAGGTCTACTCTTGCATTTGCCAGTGGGTTTTTGCTTTGGCAGGTACTTGATTTTTGAGCCACACCACCTCAATGAACATTTTGGACAAGTTTTTCTCACCCAAACAAGCATTTCTATTGCGATTGTGAGACAACATGGCTCTGTGTGCGCCCAGAAAATCTCACCAAGGTCATGCACGGGGCCACATTTCCCGTGTATGATTGGCAGAAGTACTTGACCCATCCTTTTGCAGACTTCTTTTCCCTGCCTTGGGAAGAATTTGTGTTGGAGCACAACCGCCACCATGCAAGCACGGTGGACCTCTTGATCCAGGGAGAGTTCGGTTGGGACCCAGAGGACGGAGGTTACGTGTGGATGGCGGAGGTGGTAAAACAGCGCGGTGGCCCCCACCGTGAACAGACACATCGTATTTGTCTCTCCGTGAGTCCGCGAGGCCATTGTAATGTCAGGTGAATGGCTGCAGGTCAGAGTGAACTGGAAGAATTTTGTCAGGAAGATGGTTGGACAAAATGCCAAACAAAGGCGAATCTTCAGTGAACCAAGCTGACACGGACAAGAAGTAACACTTGCTTTCTCAGAAACTGAAAAACGGACACTGAGTGACTGAGTTTGATCAGAAGAACTGAGACAGTGGTTGAACCGTAACTCTGTGCTGTTCAGAACGCGAACGCGTCTCTTCCAGACAGCGCGCGTCCACTTAGGTGGATGAGGACTTGACAGACCGAAGATGCAGATTTCTCGGAAAGAAAGCAGAACACAAAGGGCTGTAAGGGGCATTTTATAGCGATGCCAGGAGCCCCTACTAGCGTCCTTGCTCCTAGTAGCGATGCCAGGAGCCCCTAGTAGCTTCTTGTTCCTAAGTAGGCTGCGGGAGAACTGCCAGATACAGAGGTCGTTCGCAGACGGCCGCTTTCCAGCGTTGTTCGTTGCGGCAGGAGTTCCACTACGCCTTGCAGCAGTGGGCAGGACCCTTCAGCACCAACTGGTACACATCTTAGTACTGTCCAAGGTTTGTTGTTTGAACGAGTACTCTTTCCAGAGTTGCTTCTCAGATGGCTTTAGACCCGCATTAGTCCAGATGCAAATGAGTGCTATCCGGCAGAAATGCTGAAATGAGTACCACTCTGACGCTCTGACTCTGACTAACATATATTGACCAACAGCGAAGCTTGGGGGTCTTCAGCCTTAGTAAAGACTATGGAGCAGATCGGAGCAGGTGCCGGAGCAGGTTTCGGAGTAGGTTCCAGAGCAAGTTGTGGAGCAGGTTCCGGAGCAAGCCCCGGAGCAGGTTCCAGCGCTCCGGAGGAGGTTGCAGAGAAGCTCCGGTTCTGGAGCAAGTTCCGGAGCACTTTGCAGATATGCAGTGTCTTGCTGACATGCTGAGTTGTTGCCGATGCGCTGATGTGGTGTAATGTTACGTTGGTGTGTTGTGTATATAATGCTGTCATGGACGTGTAGACACGCGACATGGTTCACGCTAATATGCTGGCGTGTTGTCACGCCGACATGTTGTCAGGTTGTCACGCTGACATGTTGTCATGCCGGAACGCGGGCATGGTTCAACATGCCGATCAACGTGCCGACACGTTGTCACGCGCGGGCTTCGGAGCAGGTTCCCTGCTGCGGTGTTGTCGTGCTTGCACATATGTGGGCACATGTGCTATGCCGAGGTATTGCCATGTTGGTATGCGTGCATGGCACATTGAAAAGATTCCCAGGTTTGACTACAGCATTGCCTGGCAAAGACACAACACTTGTAGGTGAACTTTCAATGTTGCCGTTGCCAAATAGGTGATTCATGCCTAGTCGTTGGGTTTTCTTGGGCCTACTGAAAGCTTTTTGATGCATATTTTCCTTCATGGTGACATCAAAGCAGCTTCGCTTCCAATCACCACTTTTTCGATAGAGTAGCCATGACTCGTTGAAGGAGAGCCACCCGAGCTTCATCTTCGAAAGACGGGTTGAAAAGTTCAAAAGCTTAGCGCTGTAATGAACTCATGAACAATTTTGATATGTAACTGTATATATATATGTATTTATATACATACACATAAACAGGTATATATACAGATCTGTTTCATTCAAAGATTAGCTAAAACACAACACATACAATATAACTTAATTGAAACATGAAGACTCTATAGCGGAAAAATTGTTGATGGACCTATTGTACCTATCACTCTGAATGTAATAGTTACAGAAGGCATGCGCACCTTCCTATTAAGTACAGAGCTGAAGGCTGCAGTACTCCAAGTGGCCCAGTTGCGTATAGACGATAGGACACTCTCCGTGCAACCTTGAGATTGCCAGCTCAAGTCTTACATTTGCAAACAAATTCTCGTTTGCTCCACGCATGTAAAGAGCATGGAACCAAGCAACGCTAAGCATTAATCACCGCAACTCTTGGGTTTCAGTCCGGCCCATTTCAATCCACACGCAGCAACCAGACGCACGAATCCAGTGTAGTGACACCATTCTTTCACTTAGCAACTCTGGGGTTGCATTGGGTTTTTAGAAGTAGAGTTGAACAAGTGTTGGCGTCCTTGATCTTCCGACAGTCCGCAAGCGACTTGGCACTGAGGTACAAGTACATCCTTACTGTTCCATGGATCCCTGTTATTCATTTCTTTGGCCTGAACGACACTGGTTCCCTTTTTGCCCTGGAGTGGTGGATGCACTTTCCCGATGAGGGTGCCGGTGGCAAGTGCAACAAGGCTTCCGGGTGTTAACTGACTTGTGAGGGTTCGTGTGCTTGTTTCAGACCGAGGATGAAACATCCTCACACCCCACCGTCAAGAAATATGCCCTGTCTCTCTCGGGCGCAGGATTTCTGGAACAAGTGGGTGCCTCGGCGTTTGTATCATAACGCCTTTGTGGTGACCCTGTGGGCTTTGGTCTGGCTGCTGGGCACCTATCCCTTGGGCCGACCATTGAGCGAGGGCTGGAGGCGCTGGGTCGGGACATGCCCACGATGCGATTGCTTTCGCGCGATGACACATAGAAGAGGAAAAGAAGGAAAACTAGACGAACGAGAAGAGGAACAAACATTAGATTGAAAACCCATTGAGGTGTACTGTGTATGACGAATTACGGATCAGAGGCGCCCACCCAACCTGAAGAAACGGTGTGAACATGTATCAACACGATCCCAAGGAAGCGGCCTTGAGCTTCTAGTCAGGGATGACCCCGGGAGGGGCCCAATGCGCTGAACTGGGGAGCTTTGCGAGGGAGCCCTGCGGAGAGAACCCCCTGAGGTTCATGTTCACCGTGTCTTTCTTTGCTCGAATCGGTTTCTCGGCTGCCTGGATGTTCATCACGAACTTCACCCATTCGCTGCCTTGGAACGAGTTCTTGGCACAGGATCCAGGCCCAGACTTCTCCCGACATTTTGGCCTTTTGTTTTTTTTTGGGGGGGAAATTCAAAATGAAATCAGCATTCCAAGACTGAGATTCTGGCATGTCTTCCACCACATGCAGGCCGAACATGGCCAATCCTACATAATGTGATGGCCTTGGTCTTGGGCGGCAAGCACCGCTGGAATGAGATGTTGTTCCACGATGTCCACCACGCCTTCCCCAATGCAGTGGGCACGCTGAGCCAGCGTGGCCGTTTCCACGGCTGGGAGAAGGTACATGACGCAGCAGCCGAAGTCTTGCACCGTGGCCTGTGGAAGCCAAATGGCGATGAGGAGACGCAGATGCAGAAGACGCAGAAGAAACGCTCTCTCATGATGAAGCAGGGCAAGTGAACTGCTGACGCTAGGGTCTTGCACCACACATGATCCGGTCATGCAGCATTTGCTGTGCAAAGCAGCCCAGCGCTGCTTTTGGATTCTCGACTGCGCGATGTGCAGTTGGCACTCACTGCTAGCCACACGAACGTGTGGTCCTTATACGAGAGTTTCCGCACGTGGGCGGACAAAAAGACATGTTGGAATGTATTGAAATGTTTGATACGTCTATGTATATAATCAACAGTTCTCAGTCACAGACATCTTGAAACTGGAGCGTGTCCCACACTTCCCAAAGCCACTTGTCCTTTTAGATATTTGATGATATTTGAATTGAATCTGCCGCTCGCTTTTTTCACTCCCAGCCTTGACTGCCACAGGTGCAGTTGGAGGATTTGGGGATTGCAGGTGTCCCATTGCAGAAGGACCCGGAGGTCCGCCGGGACGGCACTCACGCGGGTGGAGAATGGCATGCCTTGGCCCCCCCCCAAGTGTTGGCCATGTGCCGTAGGAAACGTGCCTGGGTTTGTCCGAGCGTTTTGAACAGGGTTCGTTGCCTTTTGACTCTTTCTGCGGCTTGTCCAGGTCTGGTGTGGGTCAGGGTGGTCGACCTGCTGCGCCTGACCAGCAGGTCCCGAAGCTGCCAGCGGAGGACGAGGAGCTCACGGACGCTGAAAGGAAGGACCGTCGCATCCGGCGGGGGGTCCATCCGAGGATGGACGGGTTGGGGGAGGTCGGGGGATCGAGCATCATGGAGACCTGGGCACCTAAATACCTAGAAGTGAAAGCCTTCAAGAATGTGTTTGACCTTTGACATCCTTTGACTACACATACATCAAACAGGGACTCTATCATTCTAGCATCTTTTTTTTTATAACTCCTTGCACATAGAGAGAAGGAAGGTAGGTAGGATCCATATCGGATTTGCTATGGCATGTTCCAGAATCGCTCTTCATTTTGCCATGCTTCAATGATGATTCTTGGGGCTAATTGGCTAATGCATTTTGTCTGAAGATTCATGGCCCGGCGATCACTTGGTAAATGTTCATAAATCCTAATAATAAGGAACGTCAGCCTCAAAATGTGAGACTGAGCTTGGTGTAGTTTCAAACCACTATGCAAAGCTGAGGTTTTGGTTGACTTTGATCAAGTATCTAGAAGACAGGGTGGGGATCCCTCCTGGCCGGAGACGCAGGGAACTGGTTTCTTTTCCAGGAAGGAAGGTCCGAAGATCAAACCACTTCAAGCTCAACCCGACATGATCAGGAAGAAGCGTATTTGCTTCTTTTTCTTGCACAGAAGAACCTACCCTTCCACTTCTTAATGGGTGAACAGCCACTTCGTTTATGCTCGACAAAACCGGAAACGACCGTCTGCATCGAGCCCTGGAGCGTCTGAGGCACTTCAACGCACAAAGACTCTGCCGAGAACTGCAGTCGGAGCGGGCGGCTTTTATGGCGGCGGAGGGGCGCCTGGGTTAAAGACACCAGTGACCCCAACTCCCTTTTAAGGCCATGGGAGAAGTTGACTGACTCAGCCGACTGGGCTTCGGAGATGAGCCACAGGGAATTCAGGGAATGGTGACTTTCTGCCGTTTGGGGACGTGCAAAGATTGGTGAGTCTAGGGCAGCGTCCGTGCAAGATATGAAAGCTTTCAACCCCTAGCATCATTTGCACGTAATGCATGCTTTGCCAGAGGCTATTCCTCCTCAAGACCCCCTGGATGAGCCCTGCAGGCCCCCTTGAGCTTGAACTCGGGTTGTTGAAGTGGGTGGTTGCTGAAGTCAAGTCAGCACGTCAAGTCGATCCAGCTATATAGATACTCCAAATATGGCGCGAGAAGGAACTCAACATCGGCGGGTCCCCACTGTCTCATCCCAGGTCTTGTCCGGGTCGAACTGGCAAGGAACGGCCGAAAGGACGTAACGCGGTCCCTTCGTAGATCAGAGGTGGAGACCATGGTTTCTCATAGAATTCACGTTGAATGGAAGCCCTTGAATGGCCAATCCAAAGACTACCGTTGAAAGGAGACATGTTGCACCACCTGAGATGTGTATGAGAAGTTGTTGAGGACTTCCAGTTTTGGTTTGGATTTGTCATGATTTCTTTTCACTCGGCTGCCGGACTTTTCTCCCCAGCTCGAAGGAGCGGCCGACCTTTGAGCTGAAGCTTCAAGTGGCTGAGGAGTTTCTGCATGCAGAGAAGGCAGGGTTTGCGCACAGGAAGGGGATCATTTCAGGACATGGTGGATACCGTGGATACCTCAATATGTCAAACGGGGCATCCCCAAAACAACACCTTTTTGTGCCCTGTTCCGCATCTTCTTGGTGCGCGATCAATAGTCCAACCACAGTTTGTGATGCCTCGATGGGTGTGGCGGTTCCGGGGTGGGACATGTTCGTCTTGTGGAAGGCATCGTTTGTTGGGTCTTTCACTCACACCGGTCGGCCTGAAGCCGGACAAAGCCGGACATGTTCCGGAGTGGCAACCCCCGGTGACCCACGAACGCCGTAACCCAAACCATTCCAGGTGGATCGTGTGGCTTCACATGGAGAACGACCGCCCTCGATGCTTCCCAGCAGGTCTATTTCCCACACAATGTGGACTTCAGAGGGCGGTCCTATCCGATTCCGCCAGCAGCTTAATTTACCAATGAAACGGCGCGGCATTTGGCACAAGCTTCCTTTTCCCAAATCCATGTCAGCGACTTAGCAGTCGAGTGGTTGGCGATTTTGCGGGTATATATATATATATTATCATTTGTAACAGTCAGTAAACAATTATCACTACTTTTGGACAAGGCCTCTACTAACCATCATCATCATCATCATCATCATCATCATCATCATCATCATCATCCACTGTTACAGGTAATAGGATAGACCCAACAGATATATATATATATATATATAATATGAGCATTCAAACCGTACGTACTCAGCTCTTCTTTTTCCTCTCTCTCTCTCTCTCTGGTGTGTGTGTTTGTTGGCTGTTTCGTTGCTGTTTGAGGCCTCATTTGAACCACATTGGCGATGATGCCGCTTGGCTTTGATCTGCCAGTTCCAGTCAATTCATTATGTTAGAGGTTTCAAAACCATTCGCATCATTTTGTGCGGGAGTGTGGGGGCACCACCTTCTCCTCCGGGTCACCATAGTTCCAGATCACTTTGCTTTGCTTGCGCTGGCTATACTTCTTGGTTTGCACCTGGCTTTCTGACCGTCTGTTCCAGGAACAGGAAAGGTGATGCAGTTCTACCATGAGACATTTGAAGGGAAGACATGATCGCAGCACTGGGCAACGAGGAAGGCAGCAGGGCTACTTGCTTGTGGCGCACGTGTGCACGGTGGCAAAGTCTTCAGATCTTGATCTCCCAAAGACCCATCGAGGGTCGTGATGCCTGGGATTGAACTCTCGCAGGTTTGGAGGGTTTGTGATACTCGGCCTAAGCAGACAGCTTGAGAGGAAAGATTGCTCCCCGCCCTTCTGGTGCTCGAGCGGAGAGGCATGGCGATTGTCCGAACGTGTGAAGGGCAAGAGGATTTGGGAGTATACCTTCCCTCAGAGCTCTCAGCACAAAAGCTGATGGCTATCGGCAATTGTATGCAAAGCCGCAAAACCCTTGCTTGAAACCTTGTGTGTGATCGACCTCCACACTTTGATGGCTTTTTCTCCAGGGGACTTCGGGGAACATTTTGGGGGTGGCTCAGATTTGTGAGTCCCAGCTTTCGGCAGCTGAGTGCAGAAGTACTTTGCATCAACATTTTTGCGTGGAAGCTTTCATGCAGAGTCGTAGCCGTTTGAAGCGCCATGTCATCATCCCCGCTCTTGGGATCCCATCTGGTTTGAGCTTGGTCAGGTCGCGCAAAAAAAGCATGCTTAAAGGGTCTGAGGAGCGACTGCGTGCTTGAACCCTGAGAAAACCGGTTCTCATGCAGACAGTATGAGCGGGTATGAAGCTGAAGACTTCAGCAGACTTTCAGATGCCAAAAGATCCGTTCTCAGTGAAGACTTCTGCAGAATTCACCTCCTCTTCCCGTCAACCGAGGTTAGCCGCGGCTTGCTTCAGTTTGCCGAAGGCAAAGCATTGGGCCCCGAGGGGCTTTTCTGGTCGCAGACTGAGCCGTGGGCCTTGGTGGGCCGCCTCACCGGCCTCGCCGGTGGTTTTGAAGAGTTACAGGTCGAAGGGTTGTGAATTGAATCCAGGCGCAGAGAAGATCAAAGAAGGACACCCATCATTTTCAGTTCTTCTAGTCTTTCCCAGGAACTGATCACATGCTCCTCTTGGCCTGTGCTCTTTTTGTAGGGGTCCGAAAAGAACGGGGAAGCCACTAGGCCCGCAAAAGCAGCGCTGCCTCAGGTTGAAGGTGAACCTCGCAAATCTCTTCGGCAAGAATAAGGCGAGTTTCGCGAAGATGACAAGCGGGGAGGAGTCACCACGATCGAGCGGGAAGCAAACAGTTCGTTCGTGGTCGATTCGATCCTCAGGTTTACGACCAGCGATGCCACAAAGTAACTCACTTTTTTCTCCATCCTCTTCAAACCTGATGGGGAGAACACTTTTTTTGGGGGAGACGGTCACTTCATGCAGTGCCGACAAATCTTGAACCTTCGCCCAGGGTTTGGAGATTATATTGCACATCCATATATTGCAAGTTCCAAGACTCTGTTTCAGTGCTCTTCTTTTCGCGCCTGTGGTGAGGTCTCTCTGGAGGATCGCGCTGCCTGGGTGGATGCTCAAAGGGAGACCATTGTCAAGGCGTGGAAACAAGCGGCAGAGGGACTTAACTTTCCCATGATTTTCAGCTGACAGGCCTGGTGAAGATAGACACCTATTGGTCATTCTAGCATTTGGCTGGAGATTTTGCCATCCCATCATGTGGATAAATTTGGCTGTGGATGTGGGTAACCGCACAAAAGATTTGGATGCTTCTCTTGAGGGAGAGAGCTTAAAGCTCAATGGTCAATCCTCCCGGGTCCGCCGTTGGACACATTGGCCCAACAGAATCATCAAGTGGTGGAAGCGTGGAAGCGGTGTCTGCAAACACCATGGCCAAAAGACATCAAAAGACATAAGGGAATGCCCGGATTCAACGAATCCTTTTCATGTTACTACCCTCCCGAACACTTGTGCAGAAACTGGCACACCACCCATCGTGGAGAACCGTTTTCCTGACCATCTTGGGGAGGTTGGTCTGGGGTTGAAAGGAATGGCCAATGGCATGGGGACGTCTGATCAGCCAAGGGTTGGTCCAGTATCCACGAACAGCACCAGTGGTGGGTCCAACATGTTGACCGTTGACCTTCTTGATGAAAAGGTGCTGAACCATTTAAGAGAAGGGTGGTGCTATTCAAAGAGGGGCTACAAGCCATGGAAGGTTAAATTCTATATAAATGACTCCTCAAGTTGCTTTCCTGTCACCTTCTATGTCGCATCATGTCACCTGGTGCTGAAGCTGTTGGGATGTGTCCGCCAGCTCCGTGGAGGTGGTCAAGGACCCTCTGAAGGCTGAGAACGTGGAGTGGTGGTCCAAGGCTGATGATGGGTGCCTTGACCAACCAGTGTGCTGACTGACTGATTTGACCTGACCTGACCGGACTGACTGACTGACTTTCTGGCTGGCTGATCAAAAGAGAAAAGACCTTCCTTGCTCGGCACCCGCACCGAGGCCATGGCAGGCTTTAGCCCGATGCTTTGAGTTGGAGGAGATCTGGGCCAGTCCTCGCCCGCAGGAGCCGCCCAGCCCACGGGTGAGCGGGTGTTTGACGGGCTTTGCTGGCGGTGTCCGGTATGTCAACGAAGTGGTGCTCAACCACCCTGAGTCTTATTGCGGTGTGTGTCTTTTAGGGAGCTTAGTGTAGTAGTGTTCTAGCTGTTTAAGCTGCTTTTCACGGCAGCTTGCTTACTATGGCGGCACAACCTAAGCATTCGCCAAGAGGCTTTGCCCAAATCATGTGAGTGAGCGGGATACAAGACATGTTTGACCTGGACCGCCGGTTTTGGTTTAGTTTTCCTTTCTACCCCGGCCCGTGCCCTCCGCAAAAAATAGCATAGGCATTTGATTGCAGTTAATATATATATATATATATCAGAGCTCGGCCATGCCTCTAAGGCTGCCATACCCTGAAGACTGAACATGTGATCTTGTAGTGCACTAGCACCTCTACAAAATCCATGGCATTCCAAATTTGGTTGTGGGGAGGAAGGAGTTATGTCTTGTCGGATGTCAGGTTCAGTGATTTGATGGTTCACCCGTCGCGGGGAAGCGGATGATATGCTAGGGTCAAACGTTTTGCGGCAGGAATACATCAGTCATCTTCCAGTTCACATGGATGGATCCTGCAATGGACTGCAGCGGGGCACTGAGAGTTGTCATTTCTGATTTTGTTGTCATTTATCAGTAACAAGGTTCGCTACTAGGAACAAGTGCATCGCTACTAGGAACAAGTGCCACGCTAGTAGTAACAAGTAGCTACTAGTAGCGAACCTTGTTACTACTAGTAAGGCACGTGTTACTAGAAGCGATGCACTTGTTCCTAGTAGCTACTTGTTACTACTAGTAAGGCACTTGTTACTAGAAGCGATGCACTTGTTCCTAGTAGCGAAATACAGCATGTACATGTTGAGATGCACGGTGATGGCGTTGAGACCATCCTTCTCCAATCCCGACGATTCCGACCGTCCGAAAAGACCACTGAGGCAATCGTGGGGGCTAGCCACCTACTCGTTGACATGGAGTGAGGAAACTCTTCACACCTGGGGTTGCATGCCTTCCATGTACAAAAGGCTGTCAAGAAAGAACAGGCAAAGGACAGGCACACGCTGTATGGCCAAAGCCTATTCATTCTTTTCAGGGCAGCTGTTGGTGTTCTTCCCCTCATTTTGCTTGAGCTGCCTGAGGCACTTTTCCTGGGATGTTCATGTTTGTCCCTGCAAGGAAATTTCTGTCTTGGTGAATCCCTATCTCCACTTGCTGAGGCGACCACGACAACAACACTCATGTGTATCATTTCCATCAGCACCTTCCCTTCCGAAAGCGACCAACCCACCAGCTGCCCCTTGGGCTCGTCTGCGGTCGTCACCCAATCACCGGGAGAGCGGCGTTTTCTGAGGCACTACGCGGCGCTGGGTCGAGATGTCAAGGGGGGCGAGGCAGGTGGACGATCAATAACAAGCTCTCAACTGCTGCGACGTTTGCACCTTGCAGTAACAAGAAGCGACGACCGGGTGGAGGCCATCGCTACGACCGGAGCAAGGAAGCTACTAGTAACAAAGGGCAGCAGTGGGTCACAGATGTGAGAATGGCTCAAGCACGCTCACCGTGCTGACAAGATTCCTTTTTGGGTTCACATACATTTCGGCTGAGCAGCACACCTCAGGAGCTGGTCCAAAGGTGGAGACCTTGGTTGCCCCCCCCCACATGAAAGAAATGGGCTAATTGTTGACAAAGACCCACACCTACACGGGAAGTTGAGAATACTTTTCAGGGAGGCGACCTCCTCCGATGCGGTCTCAAAGGCCCTTCCAACTGGCGTAGGCGGTGAACCTGGTGCCGGCGGAGAAGCCACAAGATGTCTACACAGTGGTGCTGAATGTGGTGAAGAGGAAGGTCCATTGCTTCGTGGATGGATCGTTTGGTTTTGGGGTTTGAGAGCGGTGCATGTGCCCCATCCCAAACTCCTGAGTTGTTGAACTTCTGGACTTCTGGTTCCCTTCGGCAACTCATGTTTGGAACACCATACTTGTGCTTTCCCTCTCCGCAGAGAGAGTGCGTGGGTTGCTGAATCCAGCTTGTCGCAAGCAACCCCCCTGTGTGCCTGAGCCACACCATCTTCTTGCATTCTGGTTCCTACCTGGTGCGTGGGACAGTGGTCAGGTGCAAGAAGATGCAGATTCTACAGACGAGAGCAAGGAGGCACTGCAGATGGACAATCAGAGAACTCTCAAGCTGGGACCTCACTGCCTGTTTGGAGGGCAATCACTGGTTGATCCTTTGCAATTTATTGGACAATTTCCGGCCAGCAGGCCACCTCAACCGAGAGAAAGACGTTGCCAGAGGATGTGCGGAGCGTACCACCATGGTAGTCATTTGCAGAAGCGCTTCCCAACGGGTCCCACAAAGAGAACAATCTCAGTTCAAGGTGCAGATCCCATGTGTGAGGATTCTTAGCCCAGTTTCTGCGGCGGCCATGCGGCAGTGTGTGGAATTGAGGATTCTTGGCCCAGTTTGAATTGGATATGTGGAATTGAGGGTCTCCTGCAAGGAAGGTTTCCCCAGTGCCTCCGACCTCTCCACCGTGAAGAGTCCCTCTAAATGGAGAAGGTTTTACCTGGTGTCACCATTTCGAGTCTATATTTTTGTTCAACAGATCACATGGGCGCGATCACATGGGTTCTTGGCCCAAAGAACCTTGGGGCCGTGGATGAGTGCCCGAGAGCGCCCGAGAGGTCAAACGGGTCAAAGCACGGCGGCTGCAAGAGTTGGACGTGCTCCAGCGGAAGGCGACCCTGCCGAGCACAGGACGAGCACAGGGCCTGCACGGCCTGGCAATGTGGATTGGAAAACACATCCCCCACCGGTGTTCGCCAATTTTGAGGACCCAATTGCTTTTTGTGCTATATTGTTCCAATTTTGACCCTCATTTTATAGGGGACCCATGCGGTGCACACTTGGAATCTTGGTGTTTTTTTGAGGGTTTAGGAGGTGCGAGGTCCATTTTGAGGCTGTTTGGGTCCAGGGGGCATTTTATAGCAGGAGTGGATTTTTCTTAATTTAGATACTGGCACCTGGTCAGGGCATTTTACAGGCAACTGTGTTGCGCTTGTGAATTGTGGGAGGGTAGAAAGTCAGCTATCAACACTGCTAGGGGTAGGCTTGTGATGAATGCATGTAGTGCCCCCCCCAAAAAGGGTCACCGTATTTTTTAACAATTAGGGGACCCTTTTTTAGTAGGTTTTCGTGCAAGGATGACACCTTTGGAAAAAAATCCACACCATTCCACAAACAACCCCCCACACCCAAACTTAGTCCCAAAGACTCGAATCACATCACAATTGGTGAAAAACTGTTGTCACAGATTTTTTTGGGCAAACACAGCAGAGGGTGGGTGGGTTTTTGCAAAAGAGGCAGCTTTCACCTGCCTGTAAGCTGTCCATGCAGCACCAAGTCACGGCTTCCTCAAAGCTGCCAGAACAAGGGTGAATAAATAACAAAACAAGGGGGCAAGGTAGGAGGATGGTTTGCGCGCTGCTGCACTTGGGCAGCAGGCTGGCCCAATCTCACCAGGCACCCTCCAATGGCATTTTATATACTACCATCGTTGTTTGATTTAATGGTTTTCCTGTGTGTCTACAAGATTTTAAAAGGCAAGCGCTCAAGAATCACCAGCAAGCCTGTGGGATGGCATCATCCATATGCCAACCGGCAGCCCAAAAGCAAGCCCGCTTGTGAATCGTGGGAGGGTAGAAAGGCTGCTAGTCTATAAAATGGGGGGGTAGGTGCCAGGATCCCTGATACAGCTGTCACCCACCAAGGGCATCTTATATACTTCCATTGAGTGAGGTATGCTAGGATTGCCTGGTATTGCCTGCATGTCAAAAAGGCCCAGAGTAGCCCCATTGTTTTCTAAATGCATCTAAATGTGATTAAATGTCTAAATGCTTGTGTCATCTATTGCCTAAAAGTCTCCATCTAGCCAGCCAACCTTGCCAGAACGGCCCAGCAGGTGAGTTCCTAGGTAATTACAAAGCTTGCTTATGCTTGCTTGTCTATAAAATGGGGAGGGCAAGTGCAAGGCTCCCAACCTCACCAGGCACTTTCCAATGGCATTTTGCCGTTTTAATGTCGATTGTCCTTCACGTTCTCAAGCGCATGGATACTGTGGTTAAGGGGCTGCAGTTGGTTGTGTCCGGCGCCGCATCCAACTGGTGGGGACTCGGCCGTCCTAGCCATTGCGGGGCACCGAGCCTCCCGCTGTTGGTTGCTCTCTTCCTGCTGGGCCTTTCTTCCGGCCTTCTCCTCTCCTCGATCCTCGCTGCCTGGTTCTGCTTCCCTCTCTGGCAGGCATCATCTCCTTCTCAGGTGGTGCACTCGGAGGCTCAGGTGGCCCGATTGAGGGCATATGTGCATGGAAGGGCAGCCATCTCTGGGTTCCGGAAACGAGACCATTGACCTGGCCATCGCCTTCAGAGGCCTTCAGATCACCGTCCGTGGCCCCGCCGGAGAGCTGCGCTGATTTCGTTCGTGATCTCACTACCTCTGAGGCTGCTCCATCGACATCCACCCCAGGGAATGTTCAGCAACAGGGCCTTCTCGTCAATTGCACGCCAAAGGGCCTTTGCAGCAACGGCGGATCAAAAGTGGGTCACGGTGGCGCTTCAATATCTGAAGGAGTTGGACACGATTCAGACCAGAAGATCAGAGGCTACAAAGGAACAGCCTATGCCTCCACCTGCAAGCCAAAGGAAAAGGAAAGTCAAAGAAGCCTCAAGAGGAAGACCAGGATTGAGCGGGTCTTTGGGGTTGCCGGCACTGCGCTCTCCTATGTCAGAACGGCCCGGCGACGGGACCGTTTCCTGCGGGACTGGCGACCTCAGGGACAAGCTCACTGGGAGCACTTCCCATCAAGAGGCCCGTGATCAGAGTGTCAACTCTGGATATGAGCTGGACCGGGATCAAGAGAACATGTGCTTCAAGGAGGAGTCTCTTGACTCCACCATTTCATTCCGACGGCTTGTTGCTGTCCTCCCAAGGTTGATCTTGAAGAGCCGAACAAGGTTTTCAGCAGCTTTGGAAAAATCCTTTCGCATCCCTTTCAATGGAGGAGCTCCTTGCACCACGGTGTTTCCGCTGCCTTTGAGAAATTTTGGAGTCTTCTCGCAGCGGCTCGCCCCTCGACTGTCAGTGAATAGGTGGTGGAGACTTTGCAGGAAACGGTTGCTGCATGTTTTCATCGTCTTCCTCAACTTCCTGTATCATGATGGAGCAGCTTTCGATCACTACAGTCTTGGGAGGCGTCCTAGTCCAGCACAGATGCAAATACATCGACATTTGGATGCTATCATCACCGTGAGTGATGTCCCGGGGGAACACCCTTTGCCTCCTGGACGTTCAGGACCAGAATTCATTGCTCGTTTGGTTGAGCTTTCCGATTTTGTTCACGATAACCCGCTCTTTGACCTCAGTGGCTATGGCGGGGAGTTCCACGAAGGCATATCGAAGAGAGGAAGGATTCAAAAAGAGCAAGCCTTTAAGACCAAGACGGAGTTCTCTGCGGTCAATCCTTACCGCAGCTTGGATGCCAGCCGCCTGAAGCTGACTGGAAAAGGCAACTGGCCAATGGAAGAATACATTGACCACATTCTCTGGCTGCCCTATGTCGAGCCAAGTATCCTCCGCCATGGAGATGACCCTTTTTGGGAAGGTCCCGACTTTGCTAGGGAGTCTTTCGATGAGAACCTCAAGCTGGCAAAACTCTGGAGTATCAAAAGGCCTGCTTGCCCTCTTTGATACGCCCTGTGATTTCCAAGCCAGGGTATTCAATGCCTTCAAGAATCAAGACGTTGACCGCCATTGGAGACCGCCGGTGGTGCAACGGTGCCGAGATGCACCCAAAAGGGCCCTCTGCATTTCTACCAGCGGGGGTGAACCTCACTTCTCTGCATTGCCCAAGGGGCTTCAAGTTGGTTGGCTGTGTGACCGATAGAAGAGATTTTTATCATCAAGCAGAAGTCTCTCGAGCCAGGGCATGGACAAATCAGTTGCCCTTCGCCTTTGCTACCCAGAACTTTTTTGGTTCAGCTGAGTTGAAGGAGCTTGAGCAAGTCATCAACGAGAAATACGGTCGTGTTTCCCATGGTGATCGACTGGGGCTTCAGCGTAAGCCTGCCTTGTTGGTCGGTGCCTGTCCGGACACCGTCTACGCAGGATTCAAGAGCCTCTTCCAAGGAGATCATCTCGGTGTCGAGTATGCCCTTGCAAGCCACTCGAATCTCCTCCGCTCAGGGGGGGCTCCTGACGGACAAGAATCAAGTTCTCAGGCACCGACCTTTCCCTAGGGGACCCTGTTGGGAGACCTTGGTCATCGACGACTATGTGATCATCTCTAAGGAGAGAGTCAGTTGCAAAAGAGGAGCGTCGCTGGCCGAAAAGAAGCTCGAGGTTGCAGAGGCCATCTATAAGAAGGCAGAGGGGCGAGGCATCTTTCCAAGCTGTAGGTGCAGAGATTCTATCTGGACCTCAGGCGATATCCACCGGACTTGTTGGGGTTGCCGCCCATGCTGCAAAAACAGTCTCGACCTCCTACCTTTCATTGAAGGTTGCCGCCTTGCCTGTCGCTTAGCGTCCCGCCTTGCAGGTCAGTGGATCTCGCTCCTGATGTTCAGAAGATTTTTGACCTGCACACTTGATGGACTCTTCAGATTGGGCGCACCTACCAAAAGGGAGGCAAATGATGTTGTCACTCTTCACCGCTCAGTTGCAGAGGAACTTGTTCTTGCAAGCATTGGAGGTTTCCTTGCGGTCACGGATATCTCTGTTGGCTATGATGAAAAGGTCTACGCCGCGGACGCCTCAAATGGAGAGGGAGCAGTCACAGCATGCAAGGTCCCTGTCGCCCTCTCCGAGCTACTCTGGTTGGGAGGAGACCGGAAGGGAGCCTATACGACTTTGGACAAAGGACCAGCGGCTACATTACGACAGCTGGGCATCCATTATGAGGAAGAAGAAGTTGTAGATCATGAGGAGTTGCTTGCCTCCCCTCCTCGGGTCTTGGACTTTGCCTTCGACTTCGTAGAGAGTTGCGGAGGATCAGGTGTTCTGTCTGAAGAGCTGGCGCATCAAGGACTACGAGTGTGCTCGCCCATTGACCTCACAGCTAGCAAGCACTATGACCTCACAAGTGTGAAGTTGCTAGATTGGATCCTACAGATGATCCAGGAGAAGCGGTTTAAAGCAGTCGGATGTGAACCACCCTGCACTACGTTCTCTCCAGCTCAACATCCAGCCTCACGATCCTACGAGAACCCTTTGGGCTTCGACCGGAAGGAGAGGCACACATTGATTGGCACGACGCTTGCTCTACGGTGCTTGACCATTATGTTGATGTGCTTTCGGGTTGGCACTCCAGCCTTTTTGTAGCAGCCGAGGTTGAGCAAGATGGCGTGGCTCAGTGCTTGGAGATGGCTTCTCTCATTGGGCCTGGAAGAAGCAGTTGTTGCAAGCTGCATGTTTGGGAGCATCCACCGAAAGGAGTTCCGTTTCCTTGTTCATGGCTTTGACACTGCATCTTTCCAAGTAAAGTGCTCTGGTGGACATCCCCATGTGAGAGTTGAGGGTGCCTACACTAAGCAAAGCGCCATATATGCTCCAGGAGTCGTAAAGCACTTAGCTTGTCAGATCCTTGCTGCTCTCGATGCCGCCTCTCTCCAGGACGAGGCGAGCAAGAAAGGTCTTGAATCAGTGGTGATCAATGATCTCCTACAAGCTGGGAAGTGGAGCACAATTTTCGCTTGGAGCTGGAAGACCCCAAGTCATATCAATGTTTTGGAGAGCCATGCCTATTTGGGGCTCCTGCATCGGTTGGCGCAAAGAGGAGGAGGCAAGAGGTTTGTGGCGCTTCTGGACAGCAGAGTGGCTAAGGGGGCGCATGCTAAGGGCAGGTCTTCAGCCATCTCGCTTCAGAGGTCGTTGAGAAAGGCTTGTGCAGTTACGGTAGCAGCAAACCTTCATCCTGGCTTTGGCTTTGCACCAACCAGGCTGAACACAGCTGATGCTCCCTCTCGTGATCGAGAACTACCTACGCCATCAGATGGCTCCATTTTGGACTTCCTTTCTGATGCCCAAGTTGCGACCTTGCACTCTCATCAGTTCTCAAGGCCGGTTGCTGGATGGTTGCGGCTCTATATCCTAGTGGCCTTCGTGCTTTGTCCTGGTGCTGATGCTTGGCCCCATCTTGGGGTGATTTCCCATGATAGGCCGACGGAGCATTTTGCCCTCAGTCTGCACATCCTCACCACCAATCTGTGTGGGCTTTTCTCTTACCTTTGGACCTCAATGGATTTTGGCCTAGCCTGTCTTTTCTGGGCCTTCCTTGGACTTTCATGTCTTCGGGCACGAGGATCTGTCTTGTGGATTTTCATTGGACTTCTTGCCCTCTGCGCATCATCGGACACCTCCCCCCAAGACTTGGTTTGTTATGGTAAACCACAGTGGTCCAATGCCCGCAGCCATTTCGGGGGCGCGCGCCGGTGGGGCGTTCCCGCTATGCCGCTTGCGCAAAGAGGCCCTGAAGACAGGTCTCGAGGAAGCCTGCTGCGCATCGGGGAGATTTTCTCCGCCAAGAGGGGAGATTTGGCGCTCCTGTGTGACGCCGCTCCAGGCACCACTGGGACCCGTTGATGATCCAGGAGCCTAGGGATGTGGCCTCAAGGATCTACTACCAGGATGTCGTTTCCCTGGTCCCCGCTGTCTTCAGGAAGCTTGACGCAGCTGCGCCTCTGTGGCCTTGGTCGCCGACATCTTTGAGGTGACGCTTCGTCACGCTCTGAGGTTCAAAGGTTGCCCAACAGCTCGCCTTACGACTTGGCCTTACTGGCGGAGCGACCTTTCTCCTCCAACAGACGGAGGACAGCCAGTTGGTGAGGAGAAGAGGAAGGTGGCTTTCATCCAGAGTTTTGGAGATTTGCATCCAGGAAGCTGCAGTGTTGATCTTTCAGCAGAAGATGTCACCATGGACGTATAGCCGCATCGCTGAGCTTGCTGGAGTGTCTCCAAAAGTGCTGGAGGGAGCCATTTTCTTTTTAGATGCCCACATACCACCAAGGGCATGGCCGCGGCTGTGGTGAAGAGGGGAGGTCTGGAAAGATGGAGTTGTTGGTAAGCTTGCTTTGTCATCCAGCTCACCTTCAAAGAGAACCAGCCAGACTTGGCGACAGGTGAAAAAAGTGTGAGGGCTTGAGACATTGCCGTTTTAATGTCGATTGTCCTTCACGTTCTCAAGCGCACCCGCCTCTCCCGGCCCTGGCATTGCATGGAGTTGTTGGTAAGCTTGCTTTGTCACCCAGCTCACCTTCAAAGAGAACCATCCAGACTTGGCGACAGGTGAAAAAAGTGTGAGGGCTTGAGACATTATATAGTGCCATCGTTGCTTGATGTATGGGTTTTCTAGTGTGTCTAATTTAAAAGGGCAAGCGCCAGAAAGCCTGTGGGATGGCATCATCATACATCATCCATATGCCAACCGGCAGCCCAAGGGGCAGGCTTGTGATGAATGCCTGTGAGGGTGTAACGAACCACTTACAGTAAATTCGCTGGCCATGAGAAGAAATGTGTTGCGACTTTTGTCTTGGACATATTTAGTTTTGGAAATTGTGGCTTGCCGTTCGCCTTTTTTGTGCTTGCGCCCACGCGTTGCATTATATAGACAGAGTTATTTTTTATATATTTTCTATGGTGAACCCATCATGGGCATCATATAGGCTTGCTTTTTTTGAATTTTTTACTGCTCAATGTTCAGAATCCACCTTCCCCATTTTATAGTTTGGATGCTTTTTGCTCAATTTGGTATTTTATAGAAAATCAACCCTCTAGGCATTTTATAGGACCCAAAGTTCACAAAATGCGTCTAAAAACTAACAATGAAGGGGGATGAAAACACCAAGGGTTGGATTCGACCACCACCAGATGCTTGTTTCAAAGCGGAAAGGCAGAGGTGCATGCTTCTTTGTTTTAGGCAGGCGGAGTTTGGGGGCAGTTTTCTGGCCACTTAGTTTTGTGTTTCCGTGTGTTTTCTTTTGCTGGAATTGTTGCTTTTTCCCCAAACAGTTTACTGTTAGGGGTTCTCAATTCTTTCTTAAGATGTGTCCGCCCTTTGTGTCACTGCTGGTGTCCGCCCTTTTCCGCTGGCCATCTAGCATTTCTATTCATTTGCAACATTTCTATTCACTTGTCTCCCAGGTCTGTCACTGGTGGTGTCGGCCCTTTTCCGCTGGCCATGCAGCATTTCTATTCATTTGTTTCCCATGTGGCTTGTTTACTTTTGTTTTCCAGGTTCGGTGCCTGCACTGCTGGCATCCGCCCTTTTCTCCCCTCTCCAGCATTTCTATTCATATTTGTCCCCAAACAGGTTACTGTACTGTTAGGGGTTCTAAATGCTTTCCAAAAGTGTCCGCCTTGCTGCCGGACAGCGTGTCTGCCTTCCGTCCGGCTTGTCTCCCTTGGTCTCCCTTCTTGTTGGTCACTGTGTCCCCCTTCTTGTTGGTCACTGTGTCCGCCTTGTCTCCCTTCATTCTTTCTTTGTCTCCGGTCTTGTCTCCCTTCTTGTGGGTCATTGTGTCCGTCTTGTCTCCCTTCTGTTTCCTTTTGTCTCCCTTGTTGTCTCCCTTCTTGTTGATCATTGTGTCCGTCTTGTCTCCCTTCTGTTATCTTTTGTCTCCTTTTTGTCTCCCTCTTGTTGGTCATTGTGTCCGCCTCGTCCCCTCTGTCTCCCTTTGTCTCGGGTCTTGTCTCCCTTCTGTTTCCTTTTGTCTCCCTCCTTGTTGTCCGTGTTGTCTTCTTTCTGTTTCTTTTTGTCTCTGGTCTTGTCCCCCTTGTTGTTGGTCACTGTGTCCGTCTTGTCTCCATTCTGTTTCCTTTTGTGCCCCTTCTTGTTGGTCATTGTGTCCGCCTTGTCTCCCTTCTTGTCTCCCTTCTTGTGTCCCTTCTTGTCTCCCTTCTGTTTCCCTGAGTGGGCTCGAGCGAGCTGAACTTGCTTGCAACGGTTTGCGCGTGGGGGTTTGCAGTGAAAGGGTTTGTGGACTGCTCAAAACGGTTTGCACAAATCCCAAAGACAATCCTTTTCAAAACTCGAGCCTTAATTACTTTTATACTTGGGTGGCCACGATCTATTGTCTACATAATTTGCTGGGTCACCAGGTTTGATGGCGTTTTGGCGCGAAGGTGTGATTTCTGGCATGCTACAATAGTTTTGTTTTTTTTTTGATAGACTGAATGGACACAATCTGATATGTGGGAACATGGGAGACTGAGACTCCTGTTCTGTTGGTACTTGGTGTTCAGCAACGCAGCAGGACAAGCAGTATATAGACATCATGGGTGACGATAAAACCTACCGTACACAGCGCAACTTGTTCTTTTTGCAGGGTTATAGAGCGAGCAAACGAGCAGGGAATGACACAATTTTAGTTCTGTACCGTACCGAACAAATTCATACATTTGTGCAATTTTCTCTTCTTCCTCTGCTCCAGTTTGCCCTTTTCCTCGAAACACCTTTTTGTCCCGTCCTCGCGCAGAAAAACGCACGCAGGTGGTGAAGCAGACCATCATGACGATTTGCTATGGAGTCACCAGAGCCACGCATGACCTGTTTGAATACGCTCAGGGCCATGAGCGTTCGGCCGCGAGTTGTGAGAGGTGATTAGAGTTTCGATGGGGACATCTTGGGGACACGCGGCCACATGGAGGTCTGACAATGAACAGTATACAATATGGAGTTCACCTACCTTCAGCACGCCAACTTGAGACGCTGTAAAAGACCCATGGAGAGGAGCCGGTGCGAAGATTCCAAAAACCTACTCTTTGCGCTGCTTTCTTGTTTTATGCGGTTTTTGGTTCCAGAATGTATTTATGTTTTTCGTGAAACTTTGATGTCCCATTGCAACAACCCATGGCACTTAACTTCCATGTGTTTTGGACCCCATGGGATGTGTTAGGCTGAATCAACTTGGCACCAGAGGGTGACATTCATCAGTCAAGATCGCCAAAAAGAACTATGACACCTTGACTCTTCAGCCCTCCTTCAGCCCTTCAGCGAAATAAAAGACATCAGTTTGCATTTCTTTTTCCGAAGCCTCCGCGCCGTCGTCTACGTGTGTTGCAAAACACGGTGCCTTGCCTGGAGACTCGTGGTGACAGGGGCCCCATCCAAACAGGGGCCCAATGGATGTGGTGGGGCATCAGGTTCTGTCCATCAGCCCGAAGAAGACGATGACGGTAACTAGCGCACCCTGGGTTTGGGGTCATTTTGAACTGTGTGACAACCGCAGCGTGTTGCTGTTTGCATGAAAGCTGAATATGAAAGCTGAATGTCTGTATATATATATATATCTATAAAACATGAATTGTAACTTATAACCAGCTGTTTTATTGTTTTCAACCATGAAGGGTCTTTGAGGTATGTTTAAACTCATCTACGGTCAGTACCGAAAACCAACGAGTACCCGCGACCGCATCTCCAACCCTTTTCCTTTTCAAATTCCGTAGATTTCAGACAAAGCATTATATATATATTTGCCTCAAGAGTGGGTCATAGGATTGAAATTCCCAGGGTCAGTACAATTCTCAACGTTTTCCCCACAACTGGACTCACAACTCTTTTTCCAAGGGATGTTGAGAAACCTAAGTAAGAACTAGTGTTGCTCTGGCACCAAGCTTGCATGCGCTTGCATGCTGCACACTGTCAGTCGTTGTATCAGGTATCATTTTCCTCCCTCACTTGCGCACAGATCCCGCACCTCTAAGGTCGCATGCCACAGGTTTGTCCATAGTGAAGTTCCCCCAAAATCTAGGATCCAAATCAGTAGTGCGAGCGCTTCTTCAAGGAAGCTTCTGCTGCCCTCAGCCGGGGGGGAGCTTGCTTGAACAAGCGTGAGCTACCCGGCGTCCACATGTAGTAGCTTAAGTAGCTAGGAGCGAACAAGTTTGTCCCTTACTTCATTAAGTAGGCGCCTACTTCATTATGTAGGAGCGGGCTAAAACAAATCCAAAATTCATTGGACTCTTCGTCCGCCCACCTCCAAGGCAATGTCGGAGGCGCAGGCGCGGGCGTTGCTCACGCAAGCGGAGAGGCACAATGACGAGGAGGTCGGAAGGGTCCCTGGGTGTTTCTGTCGAGATGGTGGGTCGCATGTTTACCAGATGCCCTTGCTCGAAGTTAGGGAATTTCGATGGTTATATTATATACTGCAGTTACTTCAGGCAACCAAGGGGTGGACATGTGACGTGGTTTTGCGTTCCACCAACCCTGACCCAGGAGAGCAAAGAGGCGGAGGCCAAGGCTGAGGAGGCTTTGAGATTCTGATCTGCAGGGCTAGAAGTTGGCCCACAAGTCCATGGATGTCCAAAATCCACTCACTTGCTGTAGGGTCTCGAATCCACTCCTTTGGTTTCGCCCTGGTGCAAAATCACCTTGCTCGAAGCGTTGTCTTGGCCATGGAAGACTCTGCAAGAGTTTGTTTCTTCCATTGTGTTTATTGGCATTGGGGCCGCGTTCCTTCTGCGTTCTGAGGACATCTCTCTCAATGGTCGAGGATTGGAGAACATGTCTCATGGAGAGAGAGAGAGAGATAGAGACTGACGTACAAATTCAACTGTACCACACGCAGACTCAACACAATTAAGGGGGTTCTGAATTCTGAACATTTGGTTTTAGAGGTTCAACGCAGACTCAACATGACTCAACTCATCCATTCTTGTAGTTTGGTTTGGTGGCGATCCGAGGATATCTTAGAAGCACGCCCGAGGCGATCCCAGGCAGGAACAGGGGCCACGGGCCACTGGCCACGAGGACAGAACTGGACTTGGAGAAGATCCGAGGAAGACATGAGCCATGATGACCATTGGATGACCATTGGATGACCTGGTATCAAGAGCTTTATATTGGATGGACACGTCTCACAACTCTCTGAAGATGGGACATCCACCTTCATTTCTCACTCCTCTGGGATGTCTCCGATATCTCCGTCATTTTCTTGGAAGTGACAATGACTAATCGCTTCACTGGGAATCGTTTCACCTGTAGTAACAAGAAGCTACTATACAATAGTAGGTCTTTGAACTGCAAACATTTGCAAAGGACGTCAGCGAGACGTACAGATGTGGACGTTGCCACAGTCCATCACTTCAGAACCTGCGCTTTTCGCAACGACGCCCCCTTTCGTTTGGGACCAGCGGGTGGACGACTTCATCCGTCGGCGGTCCAAACGGTGCCCATGGATGGTTCACCATGGACCCTGGGCCACAAGACTGACAAATGGTCGGACACCTTCCTTAGAAAATGACTGTGGGACAGATCGGTGTGTCCCATGCCTTAGATGGTGAAAATTCCGTGGGGGACCCTCCGGTGTTGGATTGGTTGACCCTTTTCGGCTGGCTGTGTGGAGGCCCGGCCGATGCGGTGCGGATCTTGGCTCTCGTGAGCCACTTGGTGGTGAAGAGGTTTGGGGATGAAGTGAAGAGGTTCTGAAAGAGAGGACTTTGATTCTGTGTGCTCTTTGATTCTGTGTGCTGTTTGGATCCAAAGGGCTACTAGGCACACTTCTGGGGGGCAGAGTGTTGCACTAATGTTCCACAAACATCTCCGAGGCTTGGGACATGTTCGCTTCTAGAAACAGGTGCATCGCTATTAGAAACATCCGTCTCGGCCCCTAATACCATCGACCCGCGGGGAGCGGACCGTGAGGTCCGGGAGGTCGGTGAGGTCAGTGGAACGCGTCGTTGGTTTTAGACAGGTTTTTCGGTGTTCCGTGTGAGGCACACTTCCCCATGTCTGAGGTGGCCAACTCACCTGGTGTAGTTTGAGGTGATTTGTCAAGGGGCATGTGATTGTTCCCAGCAGACACTGCCCTCCAGCCCAGTTCATTCCACC